GTTGAAACGGACATATTGTACATGGAGTTCTGTTGTGGGTATGCTGGCGTAATTATAGGCATAAGATGGAACCTATCACTGGGGTTTACTCTTGGGTCCCATACAGGCAAATTAAGATTGCATTCTTCAGTCTGTTTCAGTAGCACTGGATTTGGCCATTCCCATTTAGAAAATACCAAGAAAAATATATGTACAAGAGTTTATGCTATTGCATTTGGATAAAGCTAGCAAGTTTTTGCTACTAGCATAGCCCAGGAAACACCACCGAGGAAACATTGTAGAATCTAAGCATTTAGTGAGAACAGTAGGTTAGCATAAGCGTAGCCATCTTAAAAGTCTAGAAGCCATTTTCTGAGTATGTGACTTAGAAAGAAAAACTAGAACTGGGAAAGGCACCGAAAAACAAGATGATCAATAATGAGCACAGACAGCAGTGACCTTTAGTCAGCCAACCCCAATCAGTCAATCAGTTAGTCATACATACCAAGCCTATCTTGCTAAACCACCCTAACATTTTGAGAGTGATTTTATCTTACTAACCCCCCCCAGGATGTGGTGCCAGCCGAAAGGCTATGTGCTTGTGGAAAAATACTGTTATGTGCTTGTGGAAAAATACTGCCTTTTAAACCTGCTATATAAACCTCTGGCTTTAGGTGCTCAGGGTCCTTGTTGAAACCCGCTGCGTCGGGCTGACACTTGGACCCCAGCTAGTTGGTTCCTGAATAAAGTCCTCTTGCTTGTTGCATCAAGAGACGTCTTCCGTGAGTGAATTGGGGTAGTGTCCTCATTCGGAAGAATCCAACAACATAATATATTGGAATAGATGTTGTGGCGTTTGGACAGCTCTCAGAGCTGACCTGAAGTTGTTAATATTTGGTACTAGGTGTAAAACTTCATCAGTTACCCTGCAACAATTAAGACTTCTTATTTATCTTATATCTAAATTTTAAAGACTTTCATCTCATAAATCCAAGTCTTCTGGAATAGTCTGCATTGGTAATCTTGCAAACAAAATATCAATCTCTATCCCATCAAAACACAGTTTGATAACTGGTTCGAATGCCTCTTCAACAGCTCTTAAATCTTTTACTTCTTCCTGTAACTTCAACTAATAGAATGAGGTAAAAAAGTCACACACAGTGCATCAATATCGGCACCTTTTGTATGTACTCTAATCTGTATGATCCAAATGTAAAAATTTTTTTCTCCAACATTTTCAGTTACAGATTGTGGAAGATTCTTGCTTTCACTGATTTCTCGTATCTACTTTTTGACCAGGTTATTTAGTTTTCCCAAAATTAAAATCCAGCGCTGCAGTTCCTCTTCTTCTTCAAAAACCCCAAAGGGCTTCAGAGTCTCAATTAGTTTCTGTGTGAGAAGGCAATCTGTCTCCTTGGGGGCTGCTAAGCTGATAGGAGAAGTAATGCCATAGTGCCTCTGTGATGGCTACGTTCGTTGTGATCCCTGTTCTGTAACTGGAAATGGCATTGTCTCCTGCGCAGGCCCCGCCCAGTCCGGTCCCCGCGCAACCGCCACACTGCCCAGGGTCGAATCCGGGGAGGTGAGAGGGAGGGGGCGGGGCCTGCCTCAACCCTGGGTCCAATCCCGGGGTCCACAGACATTTTAGGAGTGTTTTTTCAACTTGGGTAAAAAATGTCATTGGAATCTTGATAAGGATTACATTGACTCTATAGATGGCATTTGACAGTACTGACATTTTAACAATATTAATTCTTCCAATTCATGAGCACAGAATATCTTTCAATTTATTTGTGTCTTCTTTGATTTCTTTCATCAGTTTCTTATAGGATTCAATATAGAGGTCTTTCACCTCCTTTGTTAAATTTATTCCTAAGTACTTAATTGTTTTTGATGCTATTGTAAATGGGATTTACTTCTTTATTTCTTTTTCAGAAATTTCATTGTTAGTGTATAGAGATGCCACTGATTTTTATATGTCAATTGCATGTTATCTTGCAATTTTAGTGAATTCATTGATTAGGTTTACCTTTCTTTTTTGGTTGTGTCGTTAGGATTTTCTGTATGTAAAATCATGTCTTCTTCAAACAGCAACATTTCACTTCTTCCTTTCCAATTCCAATTCCTTTTCTTTTTATTGCCTGATTGCTCTTGCTAGTATTTCCTGTATGTTGGATAGGGGTGGTGTGAATGGGCATCCTGTTTTGTTGATCTTAAAGGAAAAGCTTTCAACCTTTCACCATGTGTACGATGCTAGCTGGAGGCTTCATTGGCCTGTTTTTATTTCCAGTACTTATTTTGTGAACCTACAGAGGTGCTCAACTGGCTCAGTTTAGAAAAACCAGCTAAATAGAGATAAAAATTTCCATTTTCCATCAATATTACTAGAATTTTGGGGAGATTAAAATGAAAATATACGTAAGAAACATTTTTTTGGGGAACTTACAGTAAACTCTAGAATTTTAGATCTTTTATTTTTAAAATGGCATGAGTCAAGAGCATTTCATCTGTTTTTGATGATTCTCAGAGATAAATATAAATGTGTAGCTTCTTAAGTCTTTGAGCAGGTATAGTATATGAAGTTATTGAATATAGATAGGAAAGACAAAAAAATACCTTTGTAACTTATGCTTTCCATAAGCAGAGGCCATACAGTATAATATTTAAGAGCTCAAGCTATGGAGTTACAAAGACTTAATTTGAGTCTTACTCCACTATTAGCTAGTGTCCTTGAGAGTGGTAACTTCACGTCTTTAAGATTCGTTTTCTATGTCTGTAAAAAGGGAATGGTTCCAGCTTCATTGTGTAGTTGTGAATATAAAATAATCCATTCAAAGTATTTAATGTAGGGCCTGCTAATTGTATATACTCATGAATGTAACAAATTCCTTCACTTTAGAAAATATTAAGCGCTTACTCCTTGTAGGCAATATGAGGTGGGGTGCTGCCATAACAGCAACAGGAACTTCACAAATGATGTAGCAATGGTTTACCAAAGGGGCAGTAAGCAGCAGGTAATTGGTATTGCAGGGTGGAAAGATGGAGACTCATGTTACGCAGTGGCAAAACATCCGGTAAAACCATAACCTGCATTTATTTGGAAGCAAAACCAAGCTACAGGGCAAGAGATTGGAACACAACTTGCTTGTAGTATGTTGGCTGTTATTAGTACTTTCAGAAAGTTATTAGAGGGGATAAATAAGCCCAGGGAAGGATTTTTCTGGTTTACAATCAGGTATGATTGAGGACAGATAGGCTGGAATTTTGGTGTTTCAAAGGGTTGGAAAAGCCTACTGTGCCTTGAGCTCAGGAGTAGAAAACGAGTTTGAAAAATGCCTTAAGTGACTGAGGCCGGTTAAGATTCAGTCCTGCAGTAAAGATCAGATAATTGGTATGATTATAATTGGTGCGACCTTCCCACCCAAGTCTGATGGCCAGAATGACAATATTAAAGTGAGAGAGGATGGAGAGACAGGCAAAAGTATATGGGCAAGAAAGCCTAATTAATCGTTTGGTTATTACATAGAAAAAAAAAGAAAACTTTGGCTGTGGTTACTGGCACATGGAAATGACTAGAAGCAAATACAGTGGAAGTGTACTGAGTTTCTGAGAATATTGCATTGCCAAAGGGACCACGAGCCAGAACAAAAACTCCTTTAACTGCTTATGTCTAAAAGCAACCTTGGGTCTTGATCTGAATGAGAAGGAGGACAACGACATCACAATACTGACCTAATAGATTTTACAAGTGCTGTGGACCAGTGAGCACTGTGGGTCATTGCGGGTCTGGGAAGGAGAGTTTTTCTGTCCTTATCCTGTTCCTGTTGTACGTTGTACCACTTCAGCCTGGGCTTGGAGGTTTCTGGATCTTGTTTTGTTTTTAGTTTCTATGTCACTAAACTATGAGATGCCTCATACAGACTTGCTGTCAAGAAGTGCACATCGCTGGGCAGTCCTACCCTTCAGGTATGCAATACCTGTGGGAAATGAGGGCTGTCTGCATGGGAAGAGAGCAAAACAGCTAGTGGGTGTGCAGAATGTCAGTTGTGATTCACAAACACGTGCCTTTGTCCTCTTGGAAACACAGCTGCCTTTCTGACCACACTCATGAACTGTCCCTGCCATTAGTGTGCCTGGGTGAGCGATTTCTGGGCAGTAGGATGAAGGCTAAAGGCATGTTCACCACCTCCAAGCTTACCCCATAAATGCTTCACACACCATCCTCCAATCTCTCTGCTTCTGATCGATGTGGATGCCCGGGGCCATCTTGGAAGCCCTGGAACAGCATTGATGGTTACAGCCCCTGTTACCCTGGATCCCTAAACACTGGGTGGAGCACTAAGGGACCTACAAGAGGGCCTGGTACAGAGTAGGGTCTCACTGCACATTCAGTGAGTGACTGCAGTGGAGGGTGGGAGAAGCTGGCACCTTTATAAAGAAAGAGTGTGCATCAGTCAGGTAAGGCATGGTGAAGAGCATTGTAGGCCAAAGGAATAGCATGTACAAAGGTCCTGAGGGGAAGAAGTGGGGTTACATTTGAGGACCAGAGGAGAGTCAAAGATGAACTAGAGAGGGAGCACACTGCGAGCAGTACCAGTTCCCAATCTTACCGCCCTCCAAGGATGCAAATATGGATAAGCATGTGGCCCCAGAGACCTGGAGCCAACACAGAAGCCCAGACCAGGACACTTTAGGATGGAGAGTCTGTGCTCATGCACGTTCCAATGCTCCACTGGTCACAGTCTTACAAATAAGAATAATAGGTGAACAAGGCAATTCAAACAAAATGGAGAGGATGCAACAGAAAGTGTGTGTAAAGAGGGCTAGGCTGGGAGGGCACCAGCAAACTTGGGTTCTAGTCTCCTTTTGTTGCATGTGATTGTTTTGAAGAATAACTGAACCAACCTTTTGAGGTATTTTTCACTAAGCTTGTTATCCTGGTTATTATTGGAAGTTTTTGTATTTGTGGACAAAGGAACTCAATGCTTTTTATTTAATAACGTAGCCCATATAATACTTACAACTTTCAAACTGCAGTTGGCTATTTCAGTGCAAATAGCTTTAAGAGATGAGATAAAGTTAAATGTAAGGGGGTCAGTTTCCTTCCAGAAGCTTATAAGGAGTCGAACTTTAACGCTTCGCAGAACTAATGCTTCTCTTATTTTCCCGTCCAAGTCTGGCCAGTAAGTCCTGCAGAAATAACATCCATATAGATAAAAATAAAACAAAGTTAGTCTGGGACAAGAAGTTTTATAGGCTATGAAGAACATTCATAACCTGCTCATTACTATGTTCTGTAATATAAGGATATCCTTGTAGGATATGTTGAAAAAATGCAAGTCTCCTGGATTAAAGCACCGAGAAATGATGCTGTACTGAGACCAGCTCCAGCTTAAAATGAGCTTCCTGCCACCAGGGCCAGCTCACGTTGCCCTCATTACATTAGCTCTACCAGGGCCTCAGTTCATCTGTGTGTGAGGAACCGACTTCCCACAGAATTCCAGTGGGGAGCCCTGGGCAACCCATCTCTCCCCAAATGCTGCTTAAATCTCCCTTCTTTGCTAACTGCTCACAAAAGGAGCTTCTTTTCTGGATATCAAAGCTTTCCCACACTCTTATGTCCAGACTGGTTTCTCTCCTGACCAAGCGTCCACCTACTCTGGGTCTTGGAATCCACATCCCTATCTGCTCAGCCTCTTCCTTGAATCTGTAACCTTTTGCCTTTACATCCTGACTCTTCCTTAGGCTGCAGCTTCTCCTGAAGTCCTGCTGAGTCTCTTCCACCGCAGCCTTCCCGCGGTTTCTGGTGTGGGGCCAGCCAATCCCCATAACAGCCCCATCTCCACCAGAATGCCCAATGTCACTTCTAGAGCTGTCACTGAATTCTCATATTAAAAACAAAAGAACAATGAACTTTGCCATCTTAAGGACGAGCCTCAAATTGCTCTCTCTCCCCGCAGCCCTGGCATTTGACGTCCCTCTGTTTAATCACACAAATCTTTTCCTAATTCTGGGCCAGTTCCCTCTGTGGGCTAATGACATTCAGACCTGAGTCTGTCAGTTGTCATCTGCATCTGCCACGGTCCCCTCTGCCTCCTGGCTGGCCTCCCACTCTCCAGGCCCCTCCACCCTATTACCTGCACTAAACCTGCTCTGTCACAGGTGTAGGCCCAGATGCATGACCCTCTGCTTCTCCCTGTCCATCAGCTTCCTGTTCCCCTCCTCTGACAAGTCTGCTCCTGTTCTGGTCCCTTGGAGGACACTTACCCCTCTCTCTCCAGCTCTTGACAAAAATCTAAACCCTGTGGTCCTGGTGCTCTAACTCCCTTGGTCTGTGTCTACAGCCACAGGGCTGAGGACTACTGCCAAGACTGGAGCAAGTACGACACACCGTGGCCCTCTGCACCTCTGCCTGCCTGTCCCTGAACATGTGCTGGTCCGTTCCACCTCCTGTACCTTTCTGTAATAATTTCTTCAATGGTGCTTAACTTCACCCTGTTCAAGAGAACTTGTTTCTTCCCTCATCCACAAAACAGAGGCTCTCAGCCATGGTCTCCCTCAACTTCCTACTCCCTCTAGTCCCCTTCCCTCTGAGCTTAGAGGATAAGGAGTCCTTCCCACCATCAGCCCCCAAAGTAGCCCCTCTCACCAGGCTGTCCCCTCCACCCTTGGCACCTGCATTTATCAGTCACTGTTTCCTAAGAATAACTTCTGCCTCTCAAGCTTCCTCTTAGTTTGAGAAAAAAGCATCAGTCTCTCCATCGAGTCCCTCCCTTGGCCCTGCATTGCTCTGTGGCTGGTGCTCAATCTCTTTCCTCTTTTGAACAAACCTCTTGATAGCAGAACCCAGAGCGTCTGACTGGACTTCATCACCCACACACACTCCTCAGCCTCCTGCCCCTGGCCTCTGGCATCCCACTCTTCTGCAAATGTTCTCAAAGTAAGCAGTGGTGCCGCAACTGAAAATCTAATGGGTACCCTGCAATTCTTACTTTTCCATTAGACTAGGACACAGGTGGCTCTGTTGATGGTGCCCTTAGTCTGGAAAATCTATTTCATTGACTTTGTGACTCTAAGCTTTGCTACTCTGCCTCTTATCTCCTGGACTGCTTCTTTACTTTTCCAGGGTCCTTCTCTAAATACCAGCACTCCCTGAGGAGCCCATCATCTTCTGCTCTTCCCACTCCACATGCCATCTCCTTAGTGGCTTCAGCCACACACGTGGCTTCCTCTGCCCTCTATCGTCTGATATTCACATCCCAGGCTAACCCTTCTCAGACTTCATTCTGGATATTTTTATAAGATCTTATATAAGGTTTCCAAGAACCTCACATTCACAAATCTACAGTTTTTATAGCCTTCCCTACTGTGTATAGCCTTCATCATCTAATCACCCAAAAAGCCTGGCCATCATCTTTGCATCTGCTCTCCTTTCTGCCAGTCACCATGAACTTCAGAAGTCGTGCTATGCCTGGCCTGGGCCTCTACCAGAGCTCCAGATGGGTTTCTCTGCCTCCAGCCTTGTCCCTGTCAAGCAACCCTCCATGACCACCAAAGTGATCTGTCTAAAAGTGTATCTCATCCTTTGACTAAAACAGTGGAGGCCCCCTCAAAGTCACAAGAGCCCCCAGGGATTGCCCTTCTGGTCTGATCCTTGCCCTCTCCACTTTGCTCTTTCGAACCATCCTGCCTTGGACTCTATATTCTAGCACTGAGCTTGTTACATGTCCTGAAACTTTGTTCTTGCTGTCCCTTCTACCTGGGAACCTCCATTTCTCACCCTTTTTCTGACTCACTACTGCACATTTTTAAACATAATTCAGGTAGCATTTCCTCCAATTGGCTTCTACTACCCCTGAAACTGCCACAGATGCCCTTTCACTGAGCATTTTATAACATTCTGTACATGTATCTATTGTTCCATTCACCCCACTGTTATAATAATCCAATCTGTGCCCATTTGTCCCTATTGGATGGAGTTTCTAGGACCATATGCTATTCATACTTTAATCACTCTTGCACAATGTCTATTAAATATTTGTTGAATGATACATACATGAAAATATTAATACCGCAATGACTTATTGGCCTCCTTTTTTATTGAGTAAATCTGATATGTAACATTGGGTAAGTTTAAGGGGTATTGCATATTACTTTTATACATTCATATATTGTAATATGATTGTCCCTTGTAGTGATATTCATCACATTGCATAATTACAGCACAATGTTATTGTCTATATTCATTATACTGCCCATTAGATCTCTATGGATTATTTACTACTCATTACATATTTGTGCCCTGAAACACTATCACTCTTATTCTACCCCCTGGTAACCACCATTTCACTCTGTTTTCTCTCGTTTTAACTTTTTAGATTTCACATATAAATGATATCATGCAGTACTTGCCTTTGCCTGACTTATCTTGTTTAGCATAATGTGTTCAAGGTTCATTCATCTTGCTGCAAATGGCAGGATATCCTTTTTCATGGCTGAATAACATTCCATTGGGCATATATTCCACAACATTTTTATCCATTCATCTATCTATAGATATTTGGCTTGTTTCCATATCTTGGCTATTGTAAATGTTGTAATAAACATGGAAGTACATATATCTTATCAAAATCCTGTTTTCATTTCCTTTGGGTGCCCAGCAGTGGAATTGCTGCATCTATTTTTAATTTATGAGGAACTTCCATATTGTTTCCCTGGTGGTTGGACCAATTTACATTCCCACCAACAATGTAAAACAGTTACAGTTTCGTCATAGTCTCACCAGCACCTGTTGAAGCCATTCTAACAGGTGTGAGACAATATCTCACAGTGGCTCCCTGATGACTAGTGATGTTGAGCATCTTTTCATGAGTCTGTTGGCCATTTTGATATCCTCTTTGGAGAAATGCCTACTGAGTTATGCCCATTTTTTATATTGGATTGTTTTATTTATTTATTTATTTATTTATTTATTTATTTATTTATTTATTTATTTATTTATGTTATTGAGTTGACTGAGTTCTTTATATATTTTAAATATTAACCACTTTTCAATATATGGTTTGCAAGTTTTTCCTCCCATTCTTTAGGTTGTCTTTTCATTTTGTTGATTGTTCTTTAGTTGTGCAGAAGCTTTTGAGTTTTGATTTATTCCCATTTGTTGATTTTGTGGCTGTTTGTACTTTTGATTTCATGCTCCCCAAATTATTGCCTTGATGTCAGTGAGCTTCTTCCTTGCATATTCTCCTAGTTTTATGACATCAGGTCTTATTTTTAAGTCTTGATATGTTTTGAGTTGATTTTTTGGGAGTGGTGTGGGATAGTGTTCCAATTTCATTTTTCTGTATATGCTTTTCCAGTTTTCCCAGAACTATTTGTTGAAGAAACTATTCTTTTCCCACTGGGGATTCTTGGGTCCCGAGTTGAATATTAGTTGACCATATATAGGCTCTGTATTCTGTCCATTGGTTGATGCATCTAATTTTGTGCCAATACCATACTTTTTTTATTACTATGGTTTTGGAGTATAGTTTGAAAGATGCATTATGATACTCTGGCTTGTTATTTTTTCTCAGGATTGCTCTGGCTATTTGGATTCTTTTGTAGTTCCATTCAAATTTTAGGATTGTTTCTGTTGTTTCTTCTATTTCTATGAAGAATACCTTCAGTACTTTGATGGGGATTTTGTTGAATCTGTAGATGTTTTGGGTAATATAGCCATTTAAAAATATTAATTCTTCTGATTCATGAATGAGGGATGTTTTTCCATTTATGTCTTCTTTGATTTCTTTCAGCAAAGTTTTGTAGTTTTCATTGTAAGATCTATCACTTCCTTGATTAAATTTTTTCCAAAGTACTTTATTTCTGATGCTATTGTGAATGGATTGCTTTCCTTATTTCTTTTTCAGATATTTCATCATTAGTGTAAAGGAATGAAATTAATTTCTGGACATTGACTTTGTATGCCATTTCACTGAAATTGATGATTAATTCCAACAGGTTTTTTTTTAATGATTCTCTGGATGTTTCTATACGTAGGATAATATCATCAGCAAATAATGATAATTTTACTTCCTCCTTATCTGTTTTGGATGGTTTTTATTTCTTTATCTTGCCTACTTGCTCTAGGTAGAGTTTCTGGTGCTGTATTGAATAGAAGTAGTGAGAGTGGACATCCTGTCTTGTTCTTA